AGGCGGCCAAAACTCTAAACGCGTTTTGAGCTCCAGAGTCGCTAAATGGGCGTCGAACCGAACGTGTGACCCCACCAATGGATTTCTCGTTTGGAGAGCAATCCATTTGTGGGGTCACACGTTCGGTTCGAGTCCCAATTAGCGACTGTGGAGCTCAAAACGTCCAGAATTTTTCCTTCTCCCCCGGTCTTTTGCCCCTGGCCCCACTGGGGGCAAAGAAGCGGCCTCATCTTCCAAACACGTTCACAACCCTTAACAATAAAAATAAATAATTTTTTAGGAGAAAAACTATTAATTTTGTTCATACTACTTTTAGGCTTACGCAATGGCCGGCGTGTGCGCAGTCGACTCCCATGACGACGTGTCCCAAAGGACGGGACGTTCCACCGGAAACACGATAGCCACGCGGTCGCGGTGTAACATTCCGTGCTTCTCCCCAAAACCCCAAAACCCGCCGCCCTCCCTGCGCCCCGCCGGGGTGCGGTGACTCGGTGGCTCGTATTCATGCTCCGCCACGCTCCGCCATGCTCCGCCACGACCATCGACCTGCATTCGGCGAGTGGGCAGGCGACCCCGCTCTGTCTCTCTCGCACCCTAATCGAGAGCACCGTGAGTGCGACAGAGACAGAGCGAGCTTGGGGCCTAACGACAACGTTCATCAATACTTCACAGCCGCCCTTGGCGCTTGGCCCTCACCCTGGCCTCCAGCCGAGCCTCCACAGCCCTCCACGGCGGAGCCACTTCACACAACACGGCACGCACTGTCAAAAACACGATCAAAATCCCGGACACGTTTTGAGCTTCAGAGTCGCTAAATGGGAGTCAAACCGAACGTGTGACCCTACCAATGGATTGCTCTCCGAACGAGGAATCCGGGTCACACGTTCGGTTCGAGTCCTGTTTAGAGACTCTGGAGCTCAAAACGCGTCTGGAATTTTGGCCGCCTCCACTGGTCTTCCGGCCCACTGTGCCGCATTTTTTTTCGCAGCCAGTTTGCAATCCTTCCTTTATGCTTAGAAAACAGGAACGCGAAATGTGCCTCGTCATGGAGAGAACGCGCCAGTCACTCTGCAGCCTCTTCGCCGCTTCAAACAAGTGACCACAGCGGAGAAGAACCTCCTTCCCTGTCATCGTAAAGCTCTCCGCCAATGAGTGTCACCATAAACCATAACAGTGTACGAGCATAAGACCCTGGCAACTGCCAGCCGCGCGGTGCCGCGCGTGGCTCCGGGTTTTTGCCCCATTCATTTTCGGAACGCCTCTTGGCCGCACCTTGACTCCGATGTACTGTGCCGACAAATTAGGGCAATTCTCTCGTTCATCGCCTCTTTTATGGAAAGATTGTTTGTTATAACCCAAATCTTAAATTTCATCACACACTAATGTTATGCACAATTTTGTACGAGACATCACAGTGTGCATACGAATTTCTCGTACCCTTTTGTACGAAAAGCTGCACATATTTCCCCCCTTTTTTTGTTGCAAAATCGCGTACAAATTTGTGCGAAAAATTCGTGTGCACAAAAAGCTGTGATGCCTCGTACAAAATGTGTACAAAAACATGTAGTGGGTACAGGATCTTTAACTTGATAAGCATGTGATGAAAATTGAGGTTTAGACCGCTGTGAAACGTCAAGACTCATTTGAATACGAAATTTCCTAACTTTTTTTTGGAGTGTATCGCCTTTGGATTTGGAGTGTCCCAACCTAACCTAGGTCGTCGTGGCAGGTCAAGTACTTGACTTACCTGGTCCGTTCCGTCAAAACCGGGGCGGGCGATCGCCGTGCGAAGACCCCAGCGAGTTCAAAGAGCGTGAGCTATTTCCGGCGATGACATCGCTCTCAACTCCGAGCTCGATAACCGGGGCGCCGGGCCGGCCGGGCTAGAGTGCCTCAGAGGCCGGGCCCATGCCGGGGCCCAGAGATACAGTAGCGGTCCCTCCGTAATCGGACGATTCAGACATGCAGAGGCACGGACGGAAGGGGCACCAGTGTCAGGTGGCAGATATTTTGTCAAATTTCTAACAAACTCGTGAATTTTAGTCAAATTTCTTCGAAATTCATAAGATTTAGCCATAATTTGTAGAACTTTGTGGCAGGAACTCTGTCAAATTTCTAACAAATTCGTGAATTAATAGTCCAATTTTCTTCAAAATTGGACTCGGACTTGGACTTCTTCGGAATTGATGAACCTTACAACTACAATCAAGGAAATTTGGCTGCACTGTATTGACACTCATCCAAAATTCATGTGGAATTCAAAAATTTGTAGACTGAAATTCAAAGTCATTTTCCGTAGTGTTGTTTTTGGCAGAGAGGGGCTCAAGGTGACGGCTTACTAGACAGCACAGAGAAAGCGGGTATTTTGTCTTAAAGTTGGTCAAAATTTCGCAAGTACTTGTCAAAAAGTCGAGTGGTCGATGACGACGCGCTGCTTTGGCGAGATTATTTGAGCGGGCCAGAGTAAGCCGCCTTGAATGGTGTGGGGGTGTAGCTCGCGGTGTGGCTATGCGGCCCTCAGCCAAGTCGCCAGTCTTCCTGTCTGTCTGCCTACAGGTGCATGGCCATTTTCGCCTCGTGTTGTACCCCGGTCGCCTAGGCAACCGCGTCCGCGTCCGGGCCGTCCCAGGCCGTCCGGGGCGCGTCGACTGTCTCTCTCGCACTCGCAGCCTCGAGCGCATGGCAGGGCGATAGCAAGGTCTGTATTGATTGAACTGACCTGCTGCATTCAAGTTCCCATTCAAGGTTCTGAGGAGCCCGCAGATTTTGACAGTGTCTCGTTACACCATAATTGGGTGCGAAACAAAGGGGCCGATAAGACACTGCCTTATCGCGGCGGTGACACAACGTGACAACGGAGTGACGCGTCACACAGTGCACCGTCACGGTGACGTCATCGACAACCTTGTCCCTGAATTCAAACTGCCGCCAGCACCGCCAGCCGGGCGGCCCGAGCGAGCGCAGGTCAGTTCAATCAGTCGATCAATCGCGGGCCGGCGCCACGAGTGCGAGAGAGACGGAGACAGGCGCTGGCGCCGCACTGGCCATCGAGTGCGAGAGAGACAGAGACAGGCGCTGGCGCCGCACTGGCCACGGCACTCCGGACGCCGACGCGGTTGCCTAGGCGACTGGGGTACAACAAGGCGAAAATGCCCGTGCATCTGCCTGAGGCGGAGATAGAGCGACAGACAGACAGATGGATGGATGGATAAATGGATGGATGGATGGACAGACAGACAGACACACAGACAGACAGATGACAGACAGACAGACAGACAGACAGACAGACAGACAGACCAGCCGGCAGACTTGGCTCGCAGCCACAGCCACACCCCCATAGAGTGGCCGCTACGCCGCTACCATTCAGCGAGTCAGCACCGCGAGCACAGCCCCTGAGCGGACCGAACTCTTCGCCGCGAGCCCTCGAGTCGAGCGTGTCCGCCAAAGCCAGCCAAAGCATGCAGGACATGTGTACAGTGTACGCCCCATGTAAAGCGTTGCACTTCCTGGCCAGCCAGGCTGCGCTGAGGCAGAGTCCGGCTCGCTAAGACCCTTGCCAGCAGACTGAGAGTCGTTGTCGTCGCTCTATCTCGCACCTGCGCGGGACGCCCCATGAGTGCGAGAGAGGCAGCGACGAAAACGACTCAGTGTGCCTGCAGGCTCGGCCAGCTCTAACGGGCCCATCTTTTGCGCACCGCTCGAGTCTAATTTGGTCCGCGTGCTTCGTTTGCTTGGCAAGCACGCCGTGCCTCGCCGTGCCTCGCCCTGCCTCGCCCTGCAGGCCTGCAGCAGACCCATTCGCCAAGGGCTTACGCAACCAGCCAGGCTGCCCTAATTGAACACACCTAGAGCCCTCGCCGCCTCGTCGGCCCTCGCTCCCACGGCGTCAGCAGGGCTCTAGCAGTGGATGAGTCCGAGAGTCGTTTTCGCCGATTGCTCTCTCTCTCTCTCTCTCTCGCACCTACACGGCACGCCCCATGAGTGCGAGAGAGACAGAGCGACTGAAAAGACTCTTGGAATCTGTCTGCAGGGCCAGTGAGTGGGTCATGGGGAAAGGAGGTGCTTCCTGCCAATTTGCAATGTCAGATAGCGCCTTTCACAAAGTTTGATTTGACAAAAGAAGCCGATGTCCTTATTCGTGGGGTGGGATACATTTGCAATCACTATCTGACAATATTTTCCAATTCAACAATCCCCCTTCAACGCCCCCACCCCACCCCCTAAAAAAATATGTGTCGCATATATAAGGTTTAGGTATGCTTTTCACTCAACGTAAGTTGAGGAGACGCACAGCGAAGTAGTGATTTAGCTCATGATGAGAATGGCCTGGTCTTAACATGATACGGAGAAGGCGACTGCAAGGCTGCACTTGTGCAAGAATGGCAAGGACCTGGCTCCCGCAGGGATGAAAAATAGAATGAATGCAACAGAGTGTTTCGGTTGAGAATCTGTAGAGCGCAGAGGAAAAACAGCAAAAGGAAATATCATTCATTTCTCTTACTTTCATTGAGCTCAAGAAAAGTAATAAAAATGTAAGTATGACACCGGGAAGTATCAACAGAGTAAAAAGCAGCCGTTACTCACCAGGAGCAGAGAATGCAAACGCCTGACACCGCATCCTCGCACCGTTGGCGTCAGGTAGGCGTTCCCGGAGTAACTAACTCTGCCGTGCGTTCGCCCTAACCTTGGGTCATGAGCTCTGCCTTCGAACCCAGGCTGCCACCACAACGTACGCAAAGGGGCGGTGGTCTTTCGGAACACAACAGTGCAGGCGATGTCTTGCGCAACCTTAAACGCAGCTGTCACTTTGGGTTAAAAGGCAGGGCAGGGGCGCAACGCAACCCGCACCCGCGGCCAGCCAGTCCATAACCCCAACGCCCCGTCGCGGCTCGCGGCCGTGCATCCCCGCGACCCAGGTCAGGGTAGAACGCGGCGATGGAGGTCGCTACGGCCGCGACGCGCCACGCCTCGCCCGAATCCGCAGCCCGCGGGGCAGCCTCCACATAGAAACCGAGCGAAAGTCGCGAATACCCGCACAAAGTGAGTGCTGCACCGACGGCACTTCCCAGCAGACGAAAATTGACTCGCGAAAGGAACCGGAAACAGACGTGCCGTCGCCGTCGTCAACATCAACAGCATAACACTGAAAATGGCGGCCCCCGAGGAGCAGAGGCGGCATGGGTGGCCGAAAAAGCGGAAAAGTTTCCTCCAGAATGCCAAGGGCATGGGGAGGAAGGGACAGTTCGGCCATGGGATGCAGATGGACCAAGACACGTATGATTACTTTGTCCGCATCTTGGAGCGTCTCAATGGAGAGTTCGACAGTCCCGAGGAGAAAGGTTAGGTCGCCTTTGCTCGTTTCTGCTATCCCTGCGCTCTTGGTTTGCATGAGGGAGTCTGTTTCATGTCTTGTCCGCAGAAAGCCTAGTGACAAATGCCCTGGCCACGACGGAGGGAAACGAGTTGGATTATTGCCGTAATCAGATTGGGTCCAGAGTGATAGAGGCCCTGATCAAGTGTGCCCCGCCATCTTCGCTGATTCAGTACATGGAAGTTTTCTCATCCCATTTGAGAATTGCCGCAACGGACAGATTTGCTGGGCATGTTTTCGAGACTTTGATAGCAACTGTGGCGAAATTTGGACGAGTGAGTATGACATTTGATTTCATTGGTAAGTTTGCCGCCCTCAAGAACGTTTTCAATCAATCCTGTATCTTTGTTTCCTTTTTTAGTCGAATGGCGAAGACAATTCTAGTGCAATAGAATCTGATGAAGACCAAGCAAAACAGTTGACAGCAGATGCTGCCAACAAATGGGTGCTTAAAGTGGGAAAATTTTTATTGAACAATTTGGAAGAATTCATATGGGATGAATATGCAAATTATCCTATCCGAACTATATTGATGAGCCTTGCGGGATTGCCACCAAGTGATTCCAACAGTAACAGCAACCGGAGCCAGAGCAGAAACGGCCCGAAAAAATCTGTCCCGGCCAATTTCTCGTCCTCACTAATGAAAACTGAGGATGATGCTGAGGTGGTGGAAGATGTGGTCCTGCCTGATGGTTTTAAAGAATTGTTGAAAGAATATTTCAAACACATATCCTCAATGTCACAATTTGAAGGTATAATGGAGCTTGTTTACAGAAACGATCCCCTTTGATTTTTGTGTTGTTCAATATTATTATCTATTTAAAATTTTATTTATGTCAACCACCTTCTAGACTTGGCGTACAGTAATGGCACATCTGCCCTGTTGCAAACGCTTCTCAAAGCATTGTCTAAAAATAATCCAAAATTAAAGAAGCGGCTTCTGAAACAGCTTATTGATCAGGTCTTCAGTAAAAAGACATTAGAGGAGAGCACAGAAGATAAAAAGGATTTTGGTAATTAAATTTCAGTTGCATCCTAGCCTTTCCAACTCATGCCATTTTCTATCATGCGTGTATTGTTTCAGAATCTAGTACAGCAGCGGTCCCTCCTGTTTTTACGACTGATGCTTCTGTTCGACTATTGGAGTCAGCTTTAGAACAAGCTTCTTCCAAATATGTAACTCAAATATACGCCAACTGCTTTATGGGCCGTATTTTTGATTTAGCCTGTGATTTAGCAACTAATTTTGCTGTTCAGAGACTCCTAGCGTGCATGGGAGACCCAAGCGAGGTGAGTCTCATGGAATTAAATATTTTGGAGTATATTTAGCACATTCCATTGCCTGTATGTATTGCAAAAATTTTGATTTTCAGTTTGAAAATATTTTTGATGAACTAGCCCCTGGCATGAACAAAATTATTGCCTCTGGGAAGACTGGAGTCCTGCTAGCTCTTTGTCAAGTTTGCAAACGTCTCTCTGTTAAACAGGCAGAATTCATTCGAGTAAGTAGTAGATATCCTTTAAAGTTTTTGTTTTAACTTCTTTTTTACTCTATCTTACCACCTTGTGAAAATGTAATTTTAGCACCTCATGAACGCTCTCAACTGCTATGAGCCAGCAGACAGAAGATCAATGTTTGTGCCTCTAGCCTTACGACTGTGCACCTATGAAGATTACAAACAGAAGGATGAGACTACAGCCACAGCCATTGGAAAGGATGGAGTGAAGAAGTCTTTTATCAATTTACATGGTTCCATAATCGTCCAAACTCTCCTTACATATAAGAAACCTATCAGTGTATGTATTTTCTCTGTTTTGTTCTTCTCTGGTCGGTGTAGAACAATAGATCACAATTGTATTTCAGATTTATCTATAAATGATTATTCATTGTTTCAAAACAGATAGTCAACAGTGTTCTAGAAATGCCGACATCCGAGTTAAAGTCTTTAGCATGTGATTTGCGGGGCAGTTATGTCATAACTGCTTTTGTTGAGAGTGAATTTGTTGGTGAGAAGAGCAGGGAGCGACTACTTCATAGATTTCGTGTAAGTACTCATTCTCTTTTGTTCTGAATAATAGTGAATGTTAGTTTTGGCCACCTTTTATGCAATGTTTCTCTCTTTCTATTTCAAAGGGGTCATATGTTGAAATGGCCTGCAGTAAAAAAGGATCATATGCACTGGAGTGCATTTATAAAAAGGCATCCTTAGGAAATCAAATGAAAATATTGGAGGAACTATCGCACAGAGAGTCCCTCATAATGGCAACAGATCCAGGCAAGATATTAGCTAACAAGTTCTCTCTGGATTTATTCCGTCATCGAAGAAATGAATGGAAACAAATGCAAACTCGGCAGGACCGCACGAAAGAACTTTTTGCAGACATAATAGGACCCTCAACATCCTGAAAATTGGATTAATTTCAATGGAATACAACATCAAATAAAAATTATAACATATCAACTTAGTGTTTATTGGTAACAATGTTACATACCCTGGTAGACTGTTAAAATCTTTTCCAAATTATAAAAATCTTAATATAACAAGTCTGATGAAAGGTGTAAGATGACTTCATTGTGTGAATACAGTACTTGCAATATATTCTCTTAACAAAAGAACAAACCAACAATCTGTCCATTAATTTATCCTGTGTACAAAACCATGGAGTGTAGTGCATGTTTGACATCTTTAACAATCAAGGCATGAAGTAGCAAAATGATTGAATTCATCTAATAGTACAAATAGTCCAATAATAAAATATCTAGAAAATTCACAACTAACATTAATTAAGTATCCCACTCGTCTTTTAAATTGTTCTAAAAATAGAAAGCCACTTATAGAATTACAAGAATAAAATATACAAAGTATTTTCTCTACTGATATTCAAACTGGTATTTTCAGTATCACAAACTTTTAACCTGCTCTAGAGATAAAGAATGGTGAGAGTAATTACCTGTCTGAAAAAAACAAATAAAATTCAGAAAATGGAATTTTCAGTCAGGATCACAGGAAAAATGCTTCATTCTTTGCAACTTCACTAGAAAACATCTCTCATGCGCGAGAGATACAGGTCTAGTTTTGAAAATGAGAGCTAATCAGACTGCTTGCAGCACACTACATAGCCTTTGCTGGCTAAAACTCCTCTGCACTTGACCTGAACTTGATAACGGAACACCCACACCAAACTGAAGGGCAGTGAGGGATCCAGGATCTGCTGCAGCATGTCCTTTGGTAAAATATCTGCAACAAATTTGAACCAAAGAAAGTTACCAGATGTCAATGAAAAATATACCAAAGCTCCGCGGAAAAGTGTTACCTGCAGGATCACTGGTTGTGTTCAATTGAATGTCATTTTGCTTCGAAAATTCTTGCAGTGCAGGTGGCACAACACAACATGTGGCTAAATTAACTTGCACAATACTGGGTTTCACCTAAGAAAATTAAAAAAAAAAAAAAGTTTTTATGGGGACAATGAGAAGCAAGTCACGAGTTCTCATGATTGGTAATTACCTTTGCCCAGTTGTATAAAGAAATGAACACTTGGGTGTCAATATTGCTAAGACCAAGGCTGATTATTTTTTTCGACTCAACAAAATCTTCTAGAGTCCTCCACAGCTCCTATATGGAAAAAAGTCGATCAGATTCATAAAAAAATCATGGTTTAAAAGGAAATCCTATACAAAAGAAACTTTAAGGAGAAAAAAAAAATTATCAGTAATACCTGTAGCCATGGAAGTGACTTCTCAGATTGTGTCTCATCTGAACAAGGACAAGCAAGAACCAGAGAATCTATTGTGTCCGTTTCCAGCGACAAAAGAGCTACAGAAAGGGTGTTTGTATTAGGCAGGCACCAAATATATATATTGACAAAAACAATTACTTTACATACCCTCATTAACAGCATCTATGAGAGTCTCTTTGTTAGTCCTTGTCACAAAAACTTTGACATTTATTTTAAGATCCTTCTTGTCTTCCACATCAAAGGAATTGACCACTTCGCTGTTGTTCTTCAATGGACCAACCTACCAAAGAACAAATGAAAATGCAATGGCGTGTCAAAAATTAATTACTGACATTAAGTACCATCATTAGTGTCCCAAGCTATTTTAAGTCAAGAGTGAGTAGTCACCTTAACTAAGCCATCCGCTGGAATGGGAGAAAGACCTTGGCTGTCTTTTGCAACAATCTTCAAGCATTCCACCAACTAGAATCAATAAAAATAATGAGAGGAAATGACGAATGGCATGAATGAAAACACTTAAGTAAAAGGTTGGGTCATAACGCCCTGGAACGAAGGCAACTGGAACTCTACATGAACGCACAGCAATGCCTCGGTCCTCGGTCGTCTGGAGGATAGGACAAGGAATGCTCGGCCTCGACTTGGCTCTAACCTTACCTCGTCCACGGGGCTCTGCCAAACCTTCAGCATTATGTTATTCATGCTGAGCATATTTCCAGTCTCGATGTGGACGGCTTTCGCTTTCGGGTCGATGTTGTGCAACATTTTCGCTCGTGTCAATGAGTGTCACGCTTGTAGCGGACACTTGTCTGAATAAATAAACAAGACTGGACAGCAGACAGACCTATCGGAATGACAGAACCTCAACGACTGACACGACAGTTGCTCGGGTTCGGCTTTTTGCCTTCGGCTTTCCCGAAGTCAACCGCCCACCACCCTCCGCCCCCCCCCCCCCCCCGCCTCTCCTCCACTCTCCCTCGGTTGACGGGCTGTCGTGTGAATAGGGAAGGTGTTATTTGCAGTCACTTGGTTTTTCGTTCGTTTAAGTTGTCAAAGGCCGTGGAAAAAAGTTTGTTGAAATTTAAACTGTGTGGATTGTTGTTGGCATTGGTCTGATTCCGTTTATTGGTGACAAGGTGAATTAATGTGAGAATCGATTGCACTTTTACTAATCCAGCCTCTACGGTGTTGATGGCACAGTCTGTAATTTCATAATAGATGTCCTGACAATGTGAAGGAAATGATAAAAACCATTAATTGTTTGTTTTGCTTGGTTATGACTGTTTGAGTCGTTTCTCTTTATTTATTCTTTCAGTTTCTCTCTTAATTTGAGTTTCCTCAACAGCGCATTCACTTATCTGTGTTTTTCGCTTTGCTTTGATTTTAGAAGAAAATGGAGCTAACTGATAAAATTGACCCTGCAGAAGTTCTTGCTCACCTCAATCAACTTGGCTACAAAAACATAAGTCCTCCCCAGCTCAAAGAATTCATCAGAGGTAAACAATGAATTTGTTACTTTTCAACGCAAGGCATATGCAATTATAGATCAGCTCTAGTATCAATAATTTTTATTGTACTTATTGCAGACTTAAAGAAGTTGATTGTGCATGACCAGCTGAGCTCCAGTTCCGGGTCCTTGACATCTCTTTCTTCAGCAGCATCGGACTTCACTTATTATTCTAGCAGTGCAGCCTTGTCGAATCAGTCCATGAAATCGAATACTGGACCCACAAGATTAAATCCATCAAACAGAAGTGAATCTGTGGGAAAGAAGAGTGCCCCTGCATTTAGACAGCAAAACTTATTTCAGGAATTAATGACTTCAGTCGACTCAGGTAATACACTTTTGCTATCACATCATAAGGCATATTACTCCAAAAATAGCTCCTAGGTTTTTAATGTTTTCAATTTATTCAGGGACTACATCGAAAAAAAGTTTCTCTTCAACATCGTCATCTCTGTCAGAGAGGTGTGTGCAGAAAGAAAATTTGCCAACCCGCAAAGTGAAGACCAAATCAATTTGTGAAGAAGAATTGCAAGAGGCTGTAAAGCCAAAAACTTCTTGTAAGTTCATTAAAATCTTTTTTGCTCTCATTGTTTGTTATTGTATTCTTTTGTTAGTCTAATCTCTGTTCATATTTGTTTTCAGTCATCCGCCCATGGCAGTTGCAAGGCTCAACCTCAGGTGGTGCCAGAACGGGCCGCAGTGACCCAGTCAGCCTCTATCATTATTACCAAACTTTATGGGCTCAACGAAAATGTCCAGGGGAAGATTCTCATGCTGATCTGCGTTGGGTGATTCGTGAAAAAATGATGGGACAAGATCCACACCTCTATTCTCAAAGTGTAGGTATCTCATGCTGGCTTCTTGTATCAAAAACTTGTTTCTTTCAAATTTTTCTAATGTACCTTCCATTTCTTTGTTGCAGGTCTTGCCACCTGGAAAGAAAAGCAACAGATTGCGGCTGTAAAGAAATTGTTTGTCTTCCTTCTCTTATCACCTGCCCAATAAATTGTTTTAGATATTTGCCTTGATTTAAATTTGCTTGTTCAATGAATTATATTTTTATGAAAATATGCTTGAACTTTCAGATAAGAAACAGACAATTTATCTGGCAGAACACATTTTTAAAGCAAAAGATGTCTGTTTCTCATCTGAGAGTATGGTGCTTCCAGTATAGTATTAATGTAATGTAGCTTTATGTTGTACTTAAAACAAAATTAAATGCCTTGGTGAGAAACCAACATTGCATTGTGTTCAGTTGTGTCTTATGCTGCTAACGCTCAACAACTTTTTATGCACATTGTCAAAGTTCTTATGAAGTAAGCATATCAAAAAGTTCCATTTAGTTTCACATATCCTATTTAAGTTGTGTTAGATGTAGAAAGAAGTGTGTTTGTTCATGTCAGTTACCTTAAGATTTGAAGCTAGCTGAGGAGCAGTTTGTCATTTCTGTGCTGTACCAACCATTGAAAGCTTACCTGTCATAAACAGTATTAGTATTGCTTTTTTCTAAAATTTGTATGAGTATTGGGTGAAATACATTGTGTCAGCAGCCATTGCCTGTATATTTTTGTCCATTCTATTGTTTGTAAACTTCAGTTCAGATGTGAATTACAAATAAATACTCTATTTTAATTCCTGGTGTAATTTTTCTTCCAGACAACACACTCCACAAAAATACTAAAAGGGAGTTAGTTGGTTGTTCAGAACACTGCGTTACATTTTATTTTAAACGATAAACAATACAAAAATGTGATATTTTAATTGATTCTGCTACACAATTGGCTGGGTCATTAGACAAATTACACAAAATGAAATGCCGTGACGCGGTTTTCCTGCCCTTCCCGGGGCTCGGGATCATCGTCGCTCTGTCTCTGTCGCACTCATGGGGCGTCCCGTTGGGGTGCGAGAGAGAGAAAGAGAGAGAGCGCGCGACGGCTGTGCCCGCCGCGGGCTGCTCTGTGCGTGAAGGGAATTTACCTCAATAATCCGGCCGCAGTTCTGGTGTAGCGGCCGTAGCGGCGGCCCCAATAATCCTCAATGCGAGACCCGCCAGGGCTAGAGAGCCAGCCCAGCCAGCCCCAAAGGCCACCTGCCGAACGAATCCGAAGAGTCGCATCGTCGCTCTGTCTCGCTCGCACCCTCGGCACGGCCGGCACGGCCCGCCAATGCGAGAGAGACAGAGCGACGAAACCGCGGTTCGGAATCGGCCCGCTGCTTTGCTGCTTTTCATCTGACTGCTCAGTTGATCCGTCAGCCAATCTCTCAAGCCGCCCTCGCCCCTTTCAGCTGCTTTAGCTTTAGCTTTCGGCGGCGACGTCACGGAGGCGTCCCACAAACCCAACCCGGGCCGAGGCACAGTGGGCCAAGACGGGAGGAGGCGGCCAAAACTCTAGACGCGTTTTGAGCTCCAGAGTCGCTAAGTGCGACCCCACCAATGGATTGCTCTCCGAACGAGGAACCCATTGGTGGGGTCACGATGGGTTCGAGTCCTGGTTACCGACTCTGGGGATCAAAACCTGCCTGGAGTTTTGGCCACCTCCACCGGCCTTCCGGCCCACCGTGCTGCTTGCTAGAGAAGAACAAGAATCCCAGGCTGCGGGCACGATCAAACGTAACGAGAGAACCTTCACAAAACCACAAGCCGCAGAGAAACTACGGATGTCGAAAGGGGTGGAGTGGAATAGCGAAAGGCACCTGGTGAGGACAGCGAAGCGAACTGAATGGAGCAAAGGTGGTAACATTAGTCAGTTCTGGGGTAATGAGTAACACTTCACAGGCACAGGCAAAGGGAAGGCCACCTCCTGTCCAGGGAAGTGATCCCGGTTTCGTCACTCTGTCTCTCTCGCACTGGTGCGGCTTGTAGTAGGGGTGCGAGACGGACAGAGAGAGCCCAGCGCAGTTAGTTTGCCTCGGTGTCCGCGGCTGGCGCGGCTGGCGTGCCGACATGAACCCTTCACCGCGCGCACGGTGCGCACCCCCATCACCCCCATCACCACCTGCAGCTTCCGCGTGCCGCGTGACACCTGACTCCGCCTCGCTCGCTCCCGTCCGCATCCCTCGGTCCTCCCGTGGGTTGTCTCCCTCGCTCTCACCACTGCGGGCTGCGGCCTCGGGGGCGCACAGTGGGCCAGCAGACCGGTGGAGGCGGCCAAAATTCTAGACGCGTCTTGAGCCCCAGAGTCGCTAAATGGGACTCAGACCGAACGTGTGACCACCCCACCCATGGATTGCTCTCCGCACGAGGAACCCATTGGTGGGGCCACAAGCTCGGTTGGAGTTCTGTTTAGCGACTCTGGAGCTCAAAATGCGTCAAAAATTTTGGCCGCCTCCACCGGTCTTCTGGCCTCTGGCCCACTGTGTGCTGGAGCCGAGCTCGGGGCCTACACTGTAGCGGGGCGCCACCTAGCGGCCGCGCGCCGCGGCGGCGCCGCCCCCGCCCCCGCCGCCCCCACCCTGGCCCCGTCCGCGCCGCCGCTAGGCCGCGGCACCGCGGCCCTACAGTGGCGTGGTGTCCAGTGCCGCCCCGACCTGCCGCAGTGACGGTCACCAGTGCCGCCGTGCCGACCCAGTGACGCGTGCCGCCAGTGCGTGCCACACATCGTCCGCAACCGGCGTGACACCCGTGACAGCCGTGACAGTCGTGACAGCCGTGACGCCGTCACACGCCGTGACAGCCGCGTGACTCCGAGCCGCGCTCCTGCTCGTGGTCAACCTCTCCGCGTCGGACGTACGCGTGCCGGCTTGAGGTGGCAGTGTGCGAGTGAGACACCCTGAGTGCGCCGCTCGGTGCGCCGGCGACATGGGGCACGTCAAGGAGTACTGGAAGGCGGTCTACGCCGCGCTCGCCGCCCTCCTCCTATCAGGTCAGCACGTGCGGCAGTGTGTGTGACACATACTGGCACAGAAGGCCTGCGGACGGCGCACAGTGGGCCAGAAGACCGGTGGAGCGGCCAAAACTCTAGACGCGTTTTGAGCTCCAGAGTCGCTAGACAGGACTCGAACCGAGCGTGTGACCCCACTAATGGGTTGCTCTCCGAACGAGGAATCCATCGATGGGGTCACTCGTTTAGTTTGAGTCTCTCATTTGACGACCCTGAAGCTCAGAAATGTCCGGGATTTTGACCGCCTCCTCCGGTCTTCTGGCCCACTGTGCGGCCGGCATCCGGCATCCCATCTTGGCCGTTCGAGTCCCCGACAGGACTCGAATCCGACAGGCGGCGGTACCAGGGCAACCCGTTGGTGCCTCGTGTGAGGGATTCGAGACGCGTTGGAGGAATGCAGAGCTCAACACGTGACCGGGGCTGTCGTCTGTCCTGCACTGGCGCATTGGCAGGGAGGGTCCCTTCCCTACTGCACTGTTAAGAGGGAAGGATCACGACGCGTGCTACGCGTTGGTAGCGGCGGCACTGACTGCTGTTGGATGACCCTCGGGGTGACCTGGGATAGCATATCCGGCAGGTGCTCAGTAGGAAGACTGAGGTTGGTGACCCTTTGAACCTGTCAAAACCGTGCATATCGCTGGGAATTTCCCATATTTTTTTTTGCCCGCTGATGTGGCAACACTGAACACTCGCCGACTCGAGACATTGTTGTAAATTGTGTGGAACGGTTGGCACCTCTGCGATTGCGCCTAATCCGGCCCGTCCGGCTCAGACGACTTCCCGCCGGGACGGCCGAGACTTCCCCGTCGAGTAAAAGGGCTCTAAACCGTTTTACTCGCCAATTAAACCGCAGCGAGGGGGAATCGAACCCGCGTCCGTCGGCTGGGCGTGATCAAAGCGCGAAAAGGGTGCCGACGGCGCCGACGGCCGGGACGGCTGGCTGGGCTACCTGCGCCAGGCCTGGCCCGGGCCCCCGGGGCTAAGCGAGTACCCCTGCCAAACTCCAGGAGATTCCAGGAGGTTCCAGGAGCTTCCAGGAGGTTCCAGGCGTGGCCGGAAATTGCGCCTTTATTCGAGACGGCCTTCGCGTCCTTCTCGGGCGTTAAAAATTTATGTGGCCGAGCCGGGGCCGCGGCGACCGCCGCCAGGGCCGCTAGGGCCGCCAGCAGGGGCGGCTCCAGAGGGGGTCTCGTTGGCTGTCTCTCTCGCACCCACGCGGCCACCGCGCGACGACCCGTGAGAGCGAGAGAGACGGAGGCCTGCCATCTCGGCGACGACGGCCGCACTGCCGCCACACTGCCGCCACATCGCCGCCAACGTCGCGGAACGGAACGAGGTCAGAGCCGCCAGACGGCCAGGCCTCCTCTTCCCTTATTCTCAAAAATAAATAAGAGATAAATTAACCGTGGACGATAAAGGAATGAATACGGTGCACAGTGGGCCAGAAGACCCGCGCGGCGCGGCCGGCGCAGGCGGCCAAAACTCTAGACGCGTTTTGAGCTCCTGAGTAGCTAAGCAGGATTCAAACCAAACGTGACCCGACCCCGCCATTGGATTCCTCATTCGACGAGCAATCCATTGGTGGGGTCACACGTTCGGTTTGAGTCCCATTAAGGCCTAGCGACCCTGGAGCTCAAAACGCGTCTGGGTTTTTGACCGCCTCCACCGTTCTTCTGGCCCACTGTGCGGCGGAGGCGTCTGCTGCTCTGCAGTGCGACACAGAACGCACGGAAATGCGTGGTCGGTGCGCCCGACCCGGCCAGAGGACGACCCCCCCCCCCCCCCCCCCCCGCCCCGCCCACCTGCCGGCGTGTTTAGCGCGGCAAAAGCCAAGCCAAACGCCTCGCCCCGCCCCGCCCCGGCCTGCCCGTTAAATGGCCTACTTTAGAGGGCGCTTTTTTCCCACGTCGAGGGCTGGCTGGGCTGGCTGGTCCCGGTCGCTACTTTTTGCCAAAGTTTGCGGCTTGCGGGCGGCCGCGACTAGCCAGCTGAGCGCCGCCTCGCCCCGCCCCACCCCGCCCCACCCCGCCTTGAAATCGGAGGGTGGGGGCAACTTAGCAGACATGTCCCGGGCCGCGCTAGTATTAATCAAACAAACTTGCGTGCCTCAACTTAACAGGGCCAGCCCGGCAGCCAGCCAGACAGGCAGCCAGACAGGCAGCCAGCCAGCCAGCCAGACTAACAACCATGGCCAAGGCAGCGTTCGACCGGACCCCCTCTAGTGCGTCCTCGTGTCCACTGTCCCGTTCGCGAAGCGAAGTGCCCGCCGCCGTGGCGCCGGGAGGGTTGGCTCGTCCCCTCCCCCTCCCCTCCCCTCCACATTTCCCTCCCCTCCCATGTCTAATCGCATGTCATATCTATGGACCGCGGTGCCGCGGTGTGTCAATGGTTTCTGACATGAGAGTCCCACGCGGACCTGGCCGTCGCCGTGTGTTTTGGCGGGCTGCTGTCGTTTTCGTCGATCTGTCTCTCTCGCACCTTTAGGGGTCGCCCCATGAGTGCGAGAGAAACAGCGCTGCCAAAACGACTCTCAGTCTGCCTCTAGGGATGGCGGCGCTGCTGCAGGCGACTCTGGACATTGATTTTCTGCCCCTCTCGCACTCGCTGTGGAAGGCCCTATTGAGCGCGACAAAGCCAGACTGCATGTCCAGGATCGGATTGTCGGCGTGTGG